ATATTATCTAGGGTGAAACAGATCACCAGCTCAGGCTGGATGCATGAGACAAGTGATCGGGCCTGGTGCACTGGGAAGACCCAGAGGAATCAGGTGGAGAGGGAGGTGGGAGGGGGGATCGGGATGGGGAACACATGTAAATCCATGGCTGATTCATGTCAATGTATGATAAAACCCACTACAATATTGTAAAGTAATTAGCCTCCAACTAATAAAAATAAATGAAAAAAAATATATATATATAAAATAAATAAAATAAAGTGTGATTGACATGCAAAATTATATTAGTATAAGGTGTACAAAATGATTGACACACTAGGTCTAGTGGTCATCTGTTACCATACAAAATTAGAATTGTTTTTCTTGGGGTAATTACTTTCAAGATTTACTCTCTTAGCAACTTCGAAATATGAGGACCTTTTTAGAAATCAAAGATTCCAATATTTCAGATTGGAAGAGAAAAGTTACTTGGCTCTGCTTAGGTCAAGCTCTTCATACTGACACCATTCTTTTCCCATCAAGCAAACACTGTGAACACTCAGGACAGTCTCATGACAAGAGAAGACTTCCTACTTTCTTCTGCCTAGATGTTCTCTAGACCTTCTTTACTCTTGCAAAGATAATGGATTTCAACTTCTCTTTTTAGGTCTTGTTGAGGCACAAATATCTGCAATGCAACTCTAGTTCATCAAGGCAATATTTCCTTCTACTTTTCTATGTTACACTTTTGTTATCCAAGTATGTTTGATCATTCATTACCTGAGGAAATCCCAACAACTTCAGGGCTCAAAGACGGCCATCTCTGCGAGTGATAAAAATTTTACGTGTGTATCAGTCTGTGGCTTCCCTGTTGGCTCAGCGGTAAAGAATCCACCTGCCAATGCAGGAGATGTGGGTTTGATCCAAGGTCAGGAAGATCTCCTGGAGAAGGAAATGGCAACCCACTCCAATATTCTTGCCTGGGAAATCCTACAGACAGAGGAGTTTGGAGGACTACAGTTCAAGGGGTCACAAAGAGCCAGATCCAACTGAGCGACTAAACAACAACAGCTACAATCAGTCTTTGTAGGTTCACTGGCACATACAGACCCAAGGATGTTCTAAAACATTGTCTGTGTAGAGTGGCAATGGCCAGACAGGAAGAGGACAGCAACACTGAAAGGGAATGGACTTTACCCATTCTCTTCCTCTTGCTACTGAAGAAAAACAATTGAGCTTCCCATTTTTTTGAGAGTCAGTCTTCAAGGGATCTTAAAATAGTACGTGTTATAGACTCACAGACTTAAGAGAACAAACTTAAGGTTACTGAGGCTAAAGATGGGGGAGAGGGACAGATTAGGAGTTTGGGATGGACAGGTACACAGTGCTGTATTTTGACTTAAATCACTGCAAGGTCTTTTTTGACGCACCTCCTAGAGTAATGAAAGTAAAAACAAAAGAAACATATGGAATCCAATTAAACTTAAAAGTCTTTGCACAGCAAAGGAGACCATAAACAAAAAGACAAAGGCAACCCTCAGAATGGGAGAAAATATTTGCAAATGATATGACCAACAAGGGGTTAACCTCCAAAATATACAAACAGTTCATGAAGCTTAATATCAAAAACAAACAACCCAACCAAAATATGGGCAGAAGGCCTAAACAGACATTTCTCCAAAGAAGACATATAGATGGCCAAAAAGCACATAAAAAGACATTCAACATCACTAATTATTAGAGAAATGCAAGTCAAAACCACAATGAGGTATCATCTCACATTGGTCAGAATGTCCATCATCAAAATATCTACGAACAATAAATGCTAGAGAGGATGTGGAGAAAAGGGAACCCTCCTGTACTGTTGGTGGGAATGTAAATTAGTGCAGCTGCGAGGGAGTTAAAAACTAAAACTAGAAATACCATATGACTTAGCAACCCCACTCCTGAGCATATACATGAAGAAAATCATAACTGGAAAAGACAGATGCACCCCGATATTGACTGCAGCACTATTTACAATAGCTATGACATGGAATCAACCTAAATGTTCAACAAAAAGGAATGGAAATGATGGTGTGTGTGTGTGTGTGTGTGTGTGTGTGTATCAAATCATTGGAATATTACTCAGTCATAAAAAGAACAAAATAACATCCACAACAGTGTCATACTGAGTGAAGTCAGTCACAGAAAGACAAATATATGATATCGCTTACATGTGGAATCTAAAAAAAGGTACAAATGAGCTTGTTTTCAAAAGAGAAACAGAGTCATAATGGAAGAAACAAATTTATGGTCACCAGAGGATAACGGAGGGAGGGATGAACTGGAAGACTGAGGTTCGGATATTCATATCACTAAATACATAACAAATGACTAATGAGAACTGGAAACCCACCCCAGTATCCTCGCCTGGAAAATTGCATGGACAGAGGAGCCTGGTGGGCAGCAGTCCATGGGGTCGCACAGAGTCAGGCACGACTGAGCGACTGACACGCACTTACTTAATAAGAACCTGCAGTGTAGCACTAGGACCTCTACTCGATATGCTGTAATGAACTACAGGAGAAAAGAATCAGAAAAAATAAAAAAGAGTGGATATTTGTATACGTGCATCTACAGCACAATTGCACTCATCTCACACGCTAGTAAAGTGATGCTCAATTCTCCAAGCCAGGCTTCAGCAGCAATACGTGAACAGTGAACTTCCAGATGTTCAAGATAGTTTTAGAAAAGGCAGAGAAATCAGAGATCAAATTGCCAACATCCACTGGATCATTGAAGAAGCAAGAGAGTTTCAGAAAAATATCTATTGCTGCTTTATTGACTATGCCAAAGCCTTTGACTGTGTGGATCACAATAAACTGTAGAAAATTCTGAAAGAGATGGAAATACCAGACCACCTGACCTACCTCTTGAGAAACCTGTATCCAGGTCAAGAAGCAACAGTTAGAACTGGACATGGAACAACAGACTGGTTCCAAATAGGAAAAGGAGTACATCAAAGCTGTATATTGTCACCCTGCTTATTTAACTTATATGCAGAGTACATCATGAGAAACACAGGGCTGGAGGAAGCACAAGCTGGAATCAAGATTGCTGGGAAAAATATCAATAACCTCAGATATGCAGATGACACCACCCTTATGACAGAAAGTGAAGAACTAAAGAGCCTCTTGATGAAAGTGAAAGAGGAGAGTGAAAAAGTTGGCTTAAAACTCAAAATTCAGAAAACTAAGATCATGGCATCCAGTCCTATCACTTCATGGCAAATAGATGGGGAAACAGTGGCTGACTTTATTTTTCTGGGCTCCAAAATCACTGCAGATGGTGACTGCAGCCATGAAATAAAAGACGCTGACTCCTTGGAAGGAAAGTTATGACCAACCTAGACAGCATATTAAAAAGCAGAGACATTACTTTGTCCACAAAGGTCCATCTAGTCAAGGCTATGGTTTTTCCAGTAGTCATGTATGAATGTGAGAGTTGGACGGTGAAGAAAGCTGCGCGCCAAAGAATTGATGCTTTTGAACTGTGGTGTTGGAGAAGACTCTTGAGAGTCCCTTGGACTGCAAGGAGATCCAACCAGTCCATCCTAAAGGAGATTAGTCCTGGGTGTTCATTGGAAGGATGGATGCTGAAGCTGAAACTCTAATACTTTGGCCACCTGATGCGAAGAAGTGACTCATTTGAAAAGACCCTGATGCTGAGAAAGATTGAGGGCAGGAGGAGACAGGAACGACAGTGGATGAGATGGTTGGATGGCATCACCGACTCGATGGACATGGGTTTGGGTGGACTCCGGGAGTTGGTGATGGATATGGAGGCCTGGTGTGCTGCAGTTCATGGGGTTGCAAAGAGTCAGACACTACTGAGTGACTGAACTGAACTGATTCTCTTTGTTGAACAGTAGAAACTAACACACATTGTACATCGACTCTACTACAATAAAAAAATTTTTAATGCTTTTCCATGGCAAAAATAGTATGTTTTATAATACTATATAGAATCATGCTTAGGAACATAAGCTCCAAAGTCAGATAACCAAATCTGAATCTCAAGTCTTGCACCTGGTGCTTGAGTGACTCTGTTACTTAAAAGTTATTAAAAACGTACATACCTTGGTTTTAAATGGAGATTGGTATGCTACTGAGGACATGAAGTTATTATGAAGAAAAAGTTATGCACATGCAAAAGCACTAAGAACAGTTTCTGGAATATAGTAATTCATTCAACAAATGTTAGCTATTTCTATAATCAATATCATTTTAGACCCAAGAAAGTTTAACTTCTTCAGAAAACTTTTGTATAATATTCAGGTGTACTCTTCTCCTTCAGTAACAACTAATAGGGAAGAAGGCATCCAGAGAACCTTCTAAGGCTTTGGGATCATTGCCCTAACCAACAGGTCTCCTTATAAACTATCTCCTTTAGCAAAATGTGTGTCTCCAGATAGATTCTAGACCTCTGAGACTAAATGTACCACACACTACCACAGATTCCCTTTCCTTTCTTACCAACTGGTGCTCAATAAAAAGATTCAAAACTCAGTAATACAAAACAAAAAGAAAAAGGCCAATAGATGTTTACTGAGTTCACCTGTCTGCTGGAGGCCCTGCCAATCTTAGCTGGGCTGTTTCATCCGTTTGATGAGCAGCTGGAAGCCAGGGGATCCAGGCTCTTGTTTTCTTTTGGAGGCAGCAGGCCACGCTGAGCAAGTGCATCTCCAGGTGGCGGCAGAAGTGGGAAAGAGCAAGCAGCAACATGCAAGGCCTCTAAGGTCTTGTCTCAGCAGTGCCCTGCCACTTCTGAGTGGACATAAATTCCTCCTATGGAAGCTAAGTGGAAGGAAAGAGTATTTATAAACAGCAATTCAACCCACCACACCTATGCAGACATCATTAAGAGGACACAATATTTTCCCACTGTGCCTAAATACAGCTTTTATATCCTTGGCTGCCAAAGTAATTGCTGGGAAACCTGCTAAATAGAAGGGAAAGAAGAAAATAGCTAATTAAGACTTCTGGTTTTGCAAATTTTTAATATATTTTATAGAATATAGCTGAATCTCCAATTCTATTTGTATGTAATGTAAAACATCATACTGTTAAGAGTTTGAGAATACTGAATTTAGTTATTCAGTTGAGGCTGAGTCAGTTTGAATAATAAGTACATATATGCTAAACATCAATGAAAACTGTCAATAGATGTAAACATATCAATAATTTAGTTATCAATTACCTCTATTTTGTTTTGTAAAAAAAACATCTAAAATATTTAATAGCAGTTTCTTACTTTTCATTTTAAAAGATATATACGCTTTCATAATTGAAACTAAAAATACATGAGAACATGTATAAATGTTACAGTGCCAAATACCACCTATACAGCCACTTCTAGCCCAATTATTTGAAACTATATTAATAAATATTAAAACAAGATATATTTATCATTTATTCTGCTTCTTTTTCATTAAACTTTTAAAATAATTTCAAATCTTTCTTATCTTAAATGGCTTTCTTAACATTTTGCTAAAATATTATAGCCTATGTTTCTTTGATATAATTAGTTTCAACATTAAAAAGAAGTAAAATTTACATATTTAACTTAAGAAATGTAATATTGCAAATTGATTTTTATAAAAGAAATACTGCACACACAGTTATAAAGTAAAATTTGATAGTTATAATTACAGATGACCCTTGAAGATGCAGGGATTAGGGGCACTGACCTCTCCAGTAGTTGAAAATCTGTGTATAATTTATAGTTGGCCCTTTGCATCCATGGTTCCTTCCAATTTGAACATTCAACCATTGTGTAGTATTGTAGTAGGTACTACTGAAAAAACTCACATATAAGTAAGTGGTCCAATGCAACTCAAACTTGCGCTGTGCAAGGGTCAACTGCTTAATATAGAGCCCTTCCCTGGCAAACAAATGCAAAAAGCTTAAAAAATGCTTAAATGAATGCAAAATGCTACAGTAAGAATGACTTTGGGTAGGATAGGGATCTGACTCTTATCTGTAGATGAGTATTTACAACAAATTGTCTCTCATGCTTAGCACTTTCCTGAAAAAAACAAACAACCTACCTCTTACCAATGAAGGTCAATCAAACCACTGATCACACTGTTAACTTCCTAAAAAGGCTAACTTTAAATGGCAAGTAATTAAGTAGCATACATTTAAAAAGAAAATAGTCTTTCCACAAATTTTTGCAAGTAGAAAGCAATTTCAGCAACCCTCAGGCATATTCTACCATTATTTTTAAAGGAATTTGGGAAAATAATGTGAAAATGGACAGTTCTCATGAATGTATGTTTCCAGAAGTGAAGATGAAAATATACCTGTAAAGTTGCCTCTGGATCTCTTAACAAATACAGCTGATTTATCTTTCTCTCTTGCCTTAGCTATGATTTCTGTATGTTGGAAAGCCAAAAGCCTCAGGACTTTCCCGTGGTCACTGGGCTGGCGTGTCCCTTCGCATCCATTCCTCCAATACTCACCCAGAGCCTCTGGTTCATTTCCCACAGCCTCACTGCTTGATGTCCTTTGCCCGCAATCATTGGTATATAGGAAATGAGCTTAAAACTCATTCTTAGTACCCAAGTTTAAGCCCTGCTTTTTGCAGGGCTAAGCAGACTAAGCAGACACATGTCTTTGGAGAAGTCAGTGAAGATCTCTGAGCCTCAGTTTTCATCTAAACAGTAAAGGATGTGAGGAGATTTCTTTAAATTATTTTCAATGCTGTGAATCAGTTTGCAGATTATAAAGAAAAAAATTAAATGCCATAATGATGATGGGGATTTCAGACCCAACTTAATATTTTATCTAAATCTCACAACACTAAATGTTCACAACTGCTTAGGGTAACGGCATACTAACTGTTTCAAGGTAAATGGTCGTCTGGTGTAATGTTGTACCAGAGAAGAATTCACCTTGGAACAAACAGTATACCTTCCAACTGAACAGTCCATTATTCCATTGAAATCTAAGGTAACACAGCCAGCACCCAATAGATACACTGATACTGCTTGTGCCAGAGAAATGCCCAGTTTCCCACCATATACCTAGAGACACGAATCTTTTCTTTAAAATCTTGATAATTTTTCTCCTTTTGCCTTTACGAGCACTTTCAAATTCTTAAAACACTCACCTGAAGACATCAACAGGAACACCTATGACCTTTTACAATGCATCCAACCCACCTTAACAGAGCTCTAACCAGTATCCACACACTGCCCGTATATTTTCATCCTCAAGATTTTTAATTAAATGATTTATTTACATTTCTTAACATTCCAAGAGACAGAGAGAGAGAGAAAATGGTGAGCCCAGGAATTTAGATTCAAGCCTACATTCATTCAAACCAAACACTTCATCTAGGAGAATGCATTGCAACAATTATTTCATGTCCTTTATATTCTACTATTATTTAAATATAAAAAATAAACTCTCCAACTACTATAGATACTTGGGAAATAAAGGGAACCCAACATGTTAAGAAGAGACTGCACAAGGCAGATAATTCACACACTATCTGTAACTGAAAACATTTTATGCAACTTTCATAGTTCCCATGAGGCAGACTAAGTTCTGGCATAGCCCTATCTGATGTGTTTCTATAAAGTATATATATAGAACAAAAAGCATCTCTAATAACTGAATTCACAGAATTATAAAATGTAAGGTAAGGGGAAAATCATCAGTATCTAAGATGTATATACCAGTGGAAATTTGAAAGAATAAGAACTTAACTTAAAAAGGCAGTGGTTATCAAAATTATTTGATGTACAATCAACTACCAGTAGCTGATACACCTTTCAGAAGACTAACTTGAGATTGACCAGTATTAAATTTCATGACACTTTCCAATCTTCTTTTCAAGTTATTCAGAAAAATCAGAAGCCTTTTAAATTAATGTAAGTCAAAACTGTGTTTCATAAACCGAAGAAAACATACAATTTTAAAACATTAGAAAAGCAGGAGGAGAGTCGATCTCCTTTAGGAATCTACAGTAATGTAGGCTATTGGTGAAGACACTCAGATCATAGTTCACTGCTCTCTCTTTTTTGTCAAGGTATGAAAAATCAGAATGCAATTCAAAATAACCCACGGAGACAGGATACTGTTAGTATTAACAATAATCATTAATCTTAATTATTAGTTTCATTATATAGTGATTTACTAATTAACATAGAGATAATAGTTGACATTTTCTAAACTTTCATTCCTTGGAGAATTAGCTGACTTCTCATTATTTTTATTTTACCCTTTCATGCCTTTGTGAAAAGATTCTTTATATGAAGGCCATTATTTTCCCCTTATTTGCTCTTTTCCAATTTAGGCAATTTATATTTGGCACACATAAAAATGTTTTTAAGTTTACCCAAGCATCACATCCTACAAATTATAAAAGACAACTTCAACATTCTACCATATACAATTTGGAGGGAAGAACAAAAGAAATACTTAGGGGAATGTTTCTAAGAACACAGCAGGTAATTTCCTCCATGTTCTTTATGCTACCAGTAGTTGACCAATGAGTCCAGAATTTCTTTCTTTGATTAAAGCAGCAATAATGGTGGCGCCTTGCCTTAAACTTTCCCGTAGCTTCTGTTCCTCCTGAAAGAAAATAATAATTGTTCTATAAATAAAAGATATCAACACATTACATCTAACAAGGAGCTACTTTTCTTTTTAAAAAAATGTTTTTTAAAGAAACTTCCCCCAACTTTATAGAGATATAAACATAAGTATAACATTGTATAAATTTAAGCTATATGATGTGATGATGTGATATACATATACATATGTGTGTGTGTGTGTGTATATATATATATAACAAAATTATTACTCATGTAAGGTCTGTTATCACATCTATCACCTCATATAGTTAACATTTTTTGGAAGGGGGGTAATAACATTTATGGGCTTTCCAGGTGGCTCAGTGGTAAAAGAATTCATCTGCCAGTGCAGGTGACATGGGTTCCATCTATAGATCAGGAAGACACCCCGGAATAGGAAATGGCAACCCACTCCAGTATTCTTGGATGGAAAATCATTTGGACAGACGAGGCTCCTCTGTCCATGGGATTCTCCAGGGGATCTTCCTAACGCAGGGATCGAACCCAGGTTTTCTACATCGTGGGCAGATGCTTTAACCTCCAAGCCACCAGGGAAACCCACTGGTAAGTTGTTTCCTTTGACTAACATCTCCCCATTTCCTCCACTTCTCAGCCCCTGGCAGCCACCAATCACAGACTCAGGCCCTGGCAACCACCAATCACAGGCTCAGGCCCTGGCAACCACCAATCACAGACTCAGGCCCTGGCAACCACCAATCACAGGCTCAGGCCCTGGCAACCACCAATCACAGGCTCAGTCCCTGGCAGCCACCAATCACAGACTCAGCCCCTGGCAGCCACCAATCACAGACTCAGTCCCTGGCAACCACCAATCACAGACTCAGGCCCTGGCAGCCACCAATCACAGACTCAGCTCCTGGCAGCCACCAATCACAGACTCAGGCCCTGGCAGCCACCAATCATAGACTCTCTGTTAGTATGGGTTTAAGGAGTCACTCTGCACTGGCTTGCTGTTCTTTGGGCTCAGCATTGCTAGAAATCAGACTGCAGCCACTGTCATGGACGTGGTGCCCTAGATAAAGGAGAAATGCTTTTACAAGCACGTTTGTTATATAAAAAATATCTGCTGAAAGTCCCAAGAAAAGCACTGACACAATTTCACATGCTAATACTATGAAACAAAAGGTTATATTCCCTGAATTCAATATCTGACCAACTTTGGCTCTTCACTGAAGTGTGAGCATTTCTCTGATGATGCAATTCTTTTCTTCATTTTTTTTTTTTAGTGTTCTTCAACAACACTGTTATAAACTATGAGAATTGGTGTGGAGGAGGAAAAAAATCTTCTTTTTCTTAAGTAAATTATCAGGCAGATTTGTGAAATGAGTTACCTCACAAGTTGCTAAAATGTGGTTTTTGCCTTTGAAATCATATTCTGCCTTTGAAATTCATATTCTATGAAATTCTTTTTTGTTTTAAATTTAGGCTTCCTGAATGTATGAAGAAATGATAATATGAAAGGAAAATGAAAGTGGAAACAGAGCTAATACCTTAAGGTCCTTGGGTTATGAATTGAGCTATGACCAAACAGAGAGATCTAGTGACCAATTTCTACACTTTGGCACCATCCGTAATGCCTTATCCCAACATTCAATATATCGCTAGCAACCCCTGCTTCTACATCTTTATCCATACATTCCATTCAAACTGCCACTGTCAGCATAATACCTCAGGCTCCAAATTACTGAAACAATCTCATAGTCTCTCCAAAGTCTGTCCTCTTCTATCCTATTTCCTACATAGAAATGAAAATACTGATTATAAATAATAAAAATTTGATCACATCATAATTCTGCCTAAAATCCTTTGAAGGCTATCTTTAAACTTCAGGATCAGTTATGAACCCTTTACCTGGCAGGTCTTTTATCCTTCCAAGCCTCTTCTTACCATTCTTTTAAAATCACTCAGTTCTCCAAGCTATGTAGAACTGTTTAAGATTGCCCAAACAAGCCATTTTTCAAGCTTTCATCCTTTTGCACTAACTAGTTCCTTTGTCAGAAAAGCTGTCGCACTCTCATCCTAGCCTAGCTGACCCGACTTACTCTGAGGTTCAACTTGGGTATCAGCGACTCTTGAAATCTCCTTTGACTGCTGTTCTCCAACTCAATTTGAGTGAGGTGAATATACATGTTGCCATAGCTGTGAATTCTTCTAAAATACTAAATTCTAATAGTCTTTCTAGCTGACCATCTATTCCATCAGATGATCAGTTTCTTTCTTTCACATATGTTAAAGACTTTTTACTTTGTATTGGGGTATAGCCAATTAATAATGTGATAGTTTCAGGTGAAGAGCAAAAGGACTCGGCCACACATATACATGCATCCATCCATCCCAAACTCCTCTCCCTTCCAGGCTGCCATATAACAAGATCCATTTCTTGATGCAAAGAATATTTTATCTTTGAAGATGAAAAATCTAGTTCAATGCCTTACACACTGTAACACTCCATAAACTGTAACAAATTCAAAGCAAAGGGAGCTCTGACTCTGATGGACATATATTCACCCTTTCCGTTTGATTCATTTGTTAACAATGACAAGTATTTGATTACTTTGTTTACTCCTATTTACATATTTACCCAGAAGTCTGGCAACTGTGCAAAGAATGCTATCTTATCCAAGTCTTCCCACTACCACCATGCCTACACTAGCCCAGGCTTAGGTTTCTCATCTTTGATGATGATCGTTGAGAGATTATCTCTGCTCTAGCTAGTCTTTTCATCACTTTCCCTGATTGTGTTCTAAGAGGTGGCGATGGGGAAGATGCACTGGGGCTGAACAGTGGCTACTTCGCCTCTTGCGAGTGAGTTTTAATGACATTTCAATAATGGATTTCAAATTCTGTATCAGTTTCAAGAATATCAAATCACATTAACAAATCATTTAAAAGCCAGATATATTTGAGCTTAAAATGTGATTCACTGATAGGAGTAGATATCATTCATGACATACCATTCATAAATATAGAAATAAGTATTCTAAAACTGAAAAAACTAGAAAACAACTATAGACACATATTTGTCACTCTTAATGATTAGTTAATCACAATGTTGCAGTGTATGACACACATCTATTTCTAAGTCTCACTAAATTGAGATATACAACAGATGATGATAACTAAGACTTTTCATTCAAAAATATACAGGAAAAGGTGATCTGCATAGTCTCTTTGCAACCAGTTTACACTTATAATGAAAGCAGCACAGTAACAAAGAAATGAAGGCGGAGAAAAAGTCTGTTTAAGATTCTAGGGCTAGAAAAATAACACTTCTCTATGTTAGAATAAATCTTCCATGCTCATTTTGATTGCTCCATAACTTACATATCTAACTAATAATTAATTTAAGTAAGAATGTTCTTTTAAAGATTCGCAATTGTTTATAGGCATCATTTGCAAAGATTTGAATTCAGTGAAAAGAACTATGGTATTTCACTAAATATTTGTTTTCCCTCTTTGCCTGAGTTCAATCATTTTATCTTTGAAAAGCATGGAATTTTAAGAGCTAGCTGATTTAAACAAGATGGTGAGACAGACACATACTTAGAAAATTCTAGTAGGTACACAGATTAGATATACAAATAATTTATGGATTTCAAACTCATCTCAAAACTCCATTTCTCTGTAAAAGTATTGATAACATAAGTTAAAAAAAAAATGCAACTAAAACTTTAAAATGCACTTCCTGCTGAAAGTGGATTTGCAAAACAGTATTTTAACCCTTAATGGAGACAAAGATGCGAGGGGCATTACAGGTGGAAATTTTATTATCATTCATCCATATTTACATATACATATGTGCATTCATTCCTTTCTGTGTTCCAAATATTACAGGATAAAAAGTTTAATGTTAAAACTACACGAACAAGGTCAACATGAACACTGAGAAGTCATGCTGATGGTATGCACTCTTGATTTTTTTTTGAATACTTTTTTGATGTGGACCATTTTTTAAAATCTTTATTGAATTTGTTACAATATTCCTTCTGTTTTATGTTTTGGATTTTTGGCCACTAGGTATGTGAGATCTTAGCTCCCCAAGCAGAAATCAAACTCATACTGTCTGCACTGGAAGGTGAAGTCTTAACCACTGGACTGCCAGGATATACTTTACAGAATTTTTTTGGTAAGGACTAATCCAAGTCAGACATGTAAATCACCACCATCTAACAAATATTCTATTATAACAGCTGCTAGAAATATTTTTGTGGAGCCACAATAGCATAGCTGATATCACCTACTCACTAATTCACCATATACAACCATTAAACCTGAAAAACTCTAGGTAAAAATGTTGTTTACAGATCTAAGACAGTAACCAACACATGTCCACCATCCTTGAAAGCAGAGGCCGTTGGCTAACATTCACCCCAGATGTCTTGTTAAGAGAATTTTTCAAAACTTATGAAGAGGAGAAATAGAGCCCAAGAGAATGACGGTCTCGCTGGATGTTAAAAACGAAGCTTACAATTTAAAATTGCCCAAGTTGCTCATATTGGGCAAAAAATATCCTGGTAAGGGGAGAGTTGCAAAGAATTCCTAAAATTCTGCTGAAAATTCCACTTGTCTGGCCAGTTCCTACTCGGTGCTTGCATAGAAACAGACTCCATGGGGACTAAAAGAGAATAATTGCTGGCAAGCTGGAGGGAGGAGCAAAGATTTTAGAAGCTGCTCTGTACTTAGAAGGAGATTAGATGTGATTTAGGCTGGAACATGGAGACCTTGGTGAACATTCATGACCTTCAGCCGAGATATCTGATTGGCTATGCCTACAGCCCAGGAATAAGGACAAAACTGAACAAGAGCTGCCCGAACAAAGCTTTAACAACCTCCAGAATAACAAGTTGATTTCCCAATAATACAAGTGCTCTTCAGAACAAATTTTATTCTTTACAGGAAGCTAAAATAAGCCAGAACTACTTTTATAATGTATTATAACTAATGTATGACAGGCAGTAAAATATTACTTGACAAGTA